ATATATATATATATATATATATATATTGAAGTGAAAATTAAACATGCATTTTCAAGAAGCAGCATCCTTAACTATTACACTGAAATAATAATAAAAAAAAGTAACATTTTAATTTAACAACAATCATAAGCTACCTGAAGAAGTGGTTAATGACTGAAAATACTGTATTACACAATGTCTTTTGTTCATTACCTACCTTATCTAAACAAAAATATTACTACAAAGGTGTGATAAAGATTTATTTATGAGACTATACTGGACGTCTTAATTATTGGGTAGTAATGACTTATTACAATGTTTTACCAGAACTGATAATGAGGATGCATAGTAATGTAAAATGTGACATCTTCACTCATACTGAAGAACTTGCATGCACATATACACAAAAGAATGCAGACAGCATTGCACACTCGTCCTCCCACCCACCCACCCCTTTCAATACGCGATAAAAAAAATCTTGATTATGCAGTAAATTACATCACATTTAAAAAAAATATCACTTACTTCTGACCAGCATTTTGGTGCATCACACCTAAAAACTTAAAAAAAAGAGAAAAGAGAGCATTTCTCAAAGGTCTCACTGACAAATAGCTCATCATCACTTCAAAGAATTAAGTACAGCAGTTTCTTTATGCACATACCAACATACGTGGTTCCCAGAGACATCTTTTATAGCTTAGATATATTTTTAACTGTTTCTATTATGAGACAAAACCTAAATTCTTCATTCCAAATTAATAAGCTCATCTACAAAGTAAGTATCAAAACGGAACTTACAGTACAAGTACAATTATAACGTTGTTATATTACTTTAAGATAAAATTAAGTTCAATTTTTTTTTCTTAACGTTGAATTACATTTACTGTTCCACTAATAATCACTTTATTGTTGTTATATTTAATACATACAAGCAACTTGTATACTTGTCAGATAGTAAATAAGGAAAATTAAACGAGTGTGAAAGTTTTAAAACAATATATACTACTGAATTTCATTCAGTTGCAACAGATTTTTATACAACTAAAAATGCATATATTCTTAAAGGATGAAAAAACTTCCAACAAATTTTAACAGTATTAAGCTTTTCCTTCTCTCAGAGTATCAAGAATGGCAAAGCTTATAGCTCCCACCTCCCTCGATCCCTTATTTCTTTAATTAGAAATAAAGAAGTTCTATGACAGAAATGTGCACATTATACTTCTAACACAAGTTAATTACATGGCAGAAAGTTGTCTTGGGAACAGACACAAGTGCTGGTAACAATGAAACTTTTAAGAAATAAACCTTTAACACTCAAAAATAACAATTTATTTTACACCTATAATTCACAACCTGCACTCATTTTAAAGAGTAAAAAGCTTGTGACATGTAGCTTATACCCATTTTTAATGGCTACCTTTGACAAGTTATTTTTTCCCTGCCTTTAATTATCATTTATTCATCTATCTCCCCTGGAATAAAAAAACTTTACGCGAGTTGAGCACACCTCCCTTACCCACTTTGTTCCCCTTATCCCGACAGTGTGCTAAGGGGGAACAAGATAGGAACATAAGGCACTTAACGTCACCATGCAAACAACACGAGAAATCAAAACTAAGTGAGGATGAGGTTATTCGCACAAAAAAAGAGGCAACAAACACAAGTACTTTCCGAGAAACTATTATTAAGGGAGTTGTTATATTCACTCATAACAGACTGGACTTTCTATTTGTCTAAAGTTTGCCTAATTATCTTTGGACCAATTAATGGAAACATACTTTACAAAGTGTTTTACTATCCAAGCTTTAGATATTCCCTTGGAGACAGTAATCTCAAATAAAAACAGAGAAGTTCCTCAGAAAGTTTCTTGCCTGCTAATTTAAACTTAGTTTAATAGTGACTCTTAAAACAAGAACTTAGTTGTTGAGATGTCTTAAGAATCTGTATTTCGAACCAGAAATGCAACATGTAGATAGCATTTAGTAGTTTCTACTGCAATAATTAACTTATCCACAAAAAGTATATTTATGGCAAGTTATATCACACCCAGTAATAAGCATTACCTATAAAACTGTTACTGTAGTCTAATAATCTTGTAGACTACCTATAAATTACACAACGAAGCAATTTCTTAACCTAACATCCCATCCCTCTTCCCCTTTATCAGACTGATTCCCCACCCAACCCTAAGCACGAAGAATTTCCTTGTCCTCACAGGGCTTCACCACTTGCGACACTTGTCCTCCTGACATTTTCAGTGGTTTTGCAGCAAGTCCTAGTGAAAAGAAGAAGAAATATAACAAACTAATAAGCAAATGTCAGCTGAAATTGAAAACACAATAGTGAAGACTGACAACACTGTTTACCACATATTCATTATGGTTATAAAGGAAGAGATCAAAACAACTTTGGTACAGTATAAAAAGAGTCTTGTATATTTCACATGCCAGTGATATAGTGTCACATGGATTCCATTTCATTATTCTGGTAAATGTAGCCATTATACTCCATAAAGTAATCCAATATTTAAAAAAAGTACTTCCACACAGCCCTGAATTACGGAAATTAACTTTTCTTATACAATCTTAACAGACCCTTGAAAAATCATTTATAAAGTGAATCTCTGTTCACTGAAACAAATAAATTATTTGAAACAGAACAGAGCTGTTCAGATTGTTTATTTGATTTATGGCAAAGCTGCTAAGGCTATCTGCCACCATCATTAATTTAAATTGATGACCACATAGATGGCAACCAGTTGTTTACAACCATTATCAACTCTAGGGTTACTCTTAACCAACAAACAGTGGGATTGCCTGTCTCATTATAATTTACTCATGGCTGAAATGGCAAACATTCACAGTGCAAGGTTTTGATTCTGCAACCCACAGATTATGAGCTGAGTGCACTAAATGCCAGGCTTGCCAGCCTCAATAGTTTAATGAAAGGAAATATTCTCAAAGTAGAGTTATTTTAATAGTGAAAGAAGTTATCTTTAAAAAAAAAAGCTGTTTAGTGTATTAATTAATTTTCAAAGTTGTTTATTGCATGAAATTATTCTTAAAGAAGACCTATTCAATAAAAACATTTTCAGAACAGAAATGAAGCAAATTATTAAAGCAAAGCTATTTACTGAAACAACATTTTAAAAGTAGAACAATACAGTGAAACAGCTTTTTTTTTTAAAGATAAC